ATATAATCTCATTTTATTATTCAATAAAGAAAGATATCATAATTAAGTCAAGAAATTTCATTAATGTAATCAAATATCAATTAACTAACGACTTCATTATTGATCATTCGAACAATAAAAATCAATCGGAGAAATTCTAGATACTTGTGATTAGAACAACATACATATAAGCGAACAATATTGTTTTCGATTAGATCGTCATCAGGCTTTACTCTACAATAAACATGAATATTTATATGAAAATGTTAAACCAATCAAGGCAATGTGAGTGATAATCACAATGAAATGAAAAAGGCGAAAGTACAAGTGGATAGTAGGAAGACAGGTGTACTGATAGTAGTAGGAAAATTTATAAAATATGATAACTAAAGTAGGTCAAAGGTGGATGAATAGAATTCAAATAATCATCAAAAACATTACGTAATAAGCAAATGTGTGAAAATAAAAACATAATGTCCATCGTTAGTTACGTCATATCCGGCCACGGAAGAGATAGGGGTGTCACGAATTTCTTCTGATCACATAGGTTAGGGTTGAATGTACGTATTTCTATGGCTTCTGCAATGTACAGTAAAACACTTTAGTCATGATGTCAGTTTTTATTTAATAAAATAATATCAGTTATTTATTTTGTTTATAAATATCAGATATAATTCATACAACACATTTAATTGTTCCCAATGATGCTAATTAAAATTGAAAATTTATCCAATGAATAATAGTTATTACTCACCAGTGGCTAACAAATCTTAATTTATACATGTAGGAAAGCTTACGAATAAATATTCGTTAATTCTTATTATGAACAGTAAACAGTTTACAATAGACTTGATAATATACGATGAACAATGAAACATTCAAACTACATTTTTTTTAAGGAATAAGAATTTTCCTAGCTATGATCCAATAAAAAAGAATGGTTGAATGATAGATAAACAATACTTCTTTCATATTATATATGGCTACACGGACTGATTATACTACTAATTAAAGCCAGTAGTATTCACTTGAAATAGTTAAATAATCGTACATATAGTGGTGGAGCATTAAATCTCCGAATTTCGCGATTCAAATTTCAATGACGAAACCATCAGATCATAATTTTAAGCAAATTAGAATGTTTGAAAATACATATCACTACCTTGAGTAAGTAAATTTACCAGTTCTCATTATGTATTATTTCGTCTACAAACTAGAAACATAAACATCCAGAATTTGGCAGGTTCAAATGAGACACGAAGACACATACTTTGGTCTGTTCGAGGCGCATTAAATAAATGCTACTAGATTCTAATGTATTTGCTAGTAATCTAGTTATTGTTCCTCACTCAAAACGAAACACTTATTAAGCTGTTCTGACCGAGAATGCATACATTTCGCTCAATGAGTATCAGTTACATTGAAGTCACAACTTTTATTTTGGTTGTTATAGACTTCCAAAATATTTCGATAAGGTTTACTGCTGGTTAGGGTTTATACAAGAGCATTATAATACGTCAACAAGATATGATCAGTTTTCCCTGTAAACCAAATGCTATCACTCAGTCAGTTACAACGTAAAACTTCGTACGTACGTACGTACATCAGTTCAGGTTGCTACACCGCATTAGCACTGTCAGTTCAAATCCCATAATGATATAGATAGTAGAAGATTAAGCGGCAATGGAAAAGATTAGGGATCAAAAACATTATTCAAGAAGTATAGTTCAATGAGATAACTTTAGAAAGATGATGAGGAATTCTGGTTAGAATTTCTTAGGACACAACGAGTGGATGCATCTAGGCTATTGCAAATGATATTGAGCCATGTCGTTCAAGGTCTCCAAACATCGGTTACTATCATCTCGCGGACCCCAACAAGGTAGCCTGCATCTACCAACATTACTCAGTCCACTTGAATGCTATCAACACTTAAAAAGAATGAATGACCTAAGTGATGTCCATCAGGATATCATAAGCTCAAGATAACTTTAGATAAATAAGAAATCGAATGGCTATGATTTCTTAATCACGGAATATCTAATAATACAATGCTATTGGCAGTACTAGATGAAAAGGAAATGACATTATTCGATGTTATCAACTGACCACTAATTAAGTAATCGATTTATGAGTAAGAATCAGAACAAAATTCTACGAATGACCAAGTATATTTAGCTCACTAAAACCGATTCATAAAGAGTATAGATTGCAACCCAATAATATACATCTACATTATACACTTCTTATGTGTTAGTCCCACAATCTGATCAAGCGTACGGATTAAATGAGTATTTTCTAACAATGTTGAGATCACTGTGTGAGGCTATTTATAGTTTCTGTTCATTTTCTATTGCAGGGCGACCAAGGATAAACGTTTTGGAAGGATAAGAGCAAGCCATGAGTATGCTGAACTTGGAAGATGACTCATAAGACTATTTCGTCAGTATGCCATTCCTTTTGTACAAAACCCGGGAATTTTAATTTTCAAATAAAAGACCTATGAATACCACTCTGCATTCTCCCTTAATGTGAAGTTCTCGGTTAACGTTGTGTGTTGTGGTATCAGTTCTTCTCCAACCTTCAGTGATTGCTGACTACACGTGTTACAATTTGATGAATCCTACTATTGAATTCACTATCCAACTATACATGTTATACATGTTATGTAATAATTTATTACAGCTAGAACACAAATCACCTACAATTTTACAAATTTAAAATAACCAACAGAATATAATATTTATATCTAACTCAGTAATCCTACTTATATTTAATTAACATAAGTGCCATACACAGACTGAAGTAAACAATGACAACATGGCTCAGATGAAATTGCCTAAAAACACTGAAAATCTAATCGAAAGTATAAAGAAGTAAGTAACAAGGGATTTGTAGCAGTAAATAAGTATATATGTATTTATATATATGTATATGTCATGTACAAAAGGCGCATATAGAATACAACTAAACAAAAACGAAAATAATAATATAAAACCAAAAAACAAAAACAAACAAACAAACGAAGTAACTGTGTATACTGGAAGGTGAGATTACCAATAAAAAAAAAGAGAAAAGATTCAAAATGATTTATTCAAATTGATTTATCTATATACACAATGCATACAATGAAGACAGAATGCAGGCAGGCAGGCAAGCAGTCAAAATAAAACAGCAAAAACTATAAATCTTAATTGTCTTTGTAGTTTTAATTCATAATTAATATCATTGACTTTTTAAATTCAACGTTTAGAAAAGTAGGTTTACTCGTCGCACAGTGTCTTCAATCAATAGGTATATTGCCCAGCTGAGGAGCTACGACAAATAATATTAATAATAACAGTAATAATACCAAGAAAAAAAGGGATATCGGTTACAGAGAGAGATCAATTTTATCAGCAACAGCAGCGGCGGCAATCACAACAAGGATATTTTCATTTACAGTAGTATTCAATGAAGAGAAAAACAATGTTATTAACAAAATTAAACACAAACATAATATGCGCATGCATTATGAACACTGATCGTACGACTGATATTTATGTATGAATGTTAAAAATAACACAAACACACACACACTCACATATATTGAAACTGTAATACATATCATCTAATCGGAGCTGATGCAAATATTGTATCAGCAATATTTATATGTATATATCTATACAGGCCACACGCATACATCGTGTTCAATAAATGTTATTGACAATTTAACGAAATTTTAAAAGGAAGAAAGAAAAAAAACACACACACAGAAGTTCTACTGTAAAATAACAATGATCGGAATTTTCGAAAAAGTGTCAAAAAAATGGAAAAACGGAAAAAGAAGTTGACAGTACATGCGTACAAAAGTAAATAAAATAAACCGATAAGGAAAAATAGTGAGGAGGCAGTTTAAAAATAAAAAAAAAAGAAGAAGAAACAGAAAAGAAAAAATGGAAATCAAACACAAAATAGAAAGTATGTAGAAGTTTTTTTCTTTAGAAGTTGTAGGTGATTGCTGCATAGACAGACAGACAGACAGAAATGCATGATTATTGTAAGGAAAACATTCTACATTGGGAAAATGAAATGTTGTTGTTGTTGTTTGTTTTTTGTTAAGAGAAGAATACTGTTGAAATTTATAAATCTTATCATGCTAGAAAGAAGACAATTATTCATAAAAATATAGTACATTCCAAGCATTGAAATATTCAATACACGTGATAAATACTTACTTGTTTTTTATAGGGTTTTCACATTATGATAGAATCACAGAAAAATACAATAAGAGCAAAAAGGATGAGGAAACACCTGAGATTGTATGAAGACAATAATAAGAATAATAACAGAATACTACGAAGTGAAATGTAAAAGCACATCAAAGAATGAGAATAACTGTTAGGTATAATAAAAACAAAATGAGGAAGCATGTAAAACAGACAAATAATACGAACAATGGCGATAGACACAATGAACAAGCATGAAATACGTGATGAGAAGATGCAAGGAATAATAGAAACAGAATGTATTTACATTTATATATACAACGAAAACTTACGAGTACACACAAGCACACACACCTACAATATAGTATTTTTTTTTATTCAGTAAGATAAGTGTTTTTTCCCCCACTGAAATGCAATAATTTCCCAATAAATAACCATGAAGCATAACAGAAAGTATGCTAGGTTTTCCTTCTAATATCTTGTTGCATTAATGCTGATAGTTGGCACATAATCACAGATAACTTTCATCTTGTATCTTTTATCTCTAAAAATTTATATGGTGCATGTACTCATCAGAAGAAGAAAAAGAAATAAAAGCTTTTAAATTAAGTATGAATAATGACTGTGACTGAACTACAATCATATAAGATAAAAAATATCATCATATATATGAATCTGTAAAGTGCTCCTTTATACATACATATTTTTACGATAATATATAATAAGAAATATAAGGAAAGATTAGAAATGAATAAGAATAATTACAAGAAGATATATATATATATATATATATATATATATATATATATATATATAGTTCATTATTCACAATTGGAACATTATCTTATGATTAACAATTTACTTATATACAACAATAACAATATGATTATTATCGGACAGTTGAATTTTCATTTTCATTGTCTACAAGCCATACAGCATGTGATACAGATCGCCAAGATTGTTGTACATCAGTAGAATCATTGTGTACATCATTGGAAACATAACGTACTAGATTATCGGAGGAAAATCCACCGAATTCAGGGAATGGACCTGTTTTAGACAATAACAGCAAAACAAAAACAGTTGTGTATGCGTCAATTTCTTTTCGGCAAAAAAATATACCTTACAATTGTAAAAGGATCTCGATAGATTTAAAATGATCCTTTAGGTACTTCATACATTTACGAAAATTCGAAACTATTCCATGTATAATGATAGCTGTGACCGGATAAACTATGAAGTAAAAACTAGACATTCAAGGTGATTACAAATAGATTAAACTTCAAAGCGTAATCAATACTAAAATTAATGTCGTAGTAGCATATTAACGGAAACCTTAATTTCATGTAAAGTTGTAACAACAAAACAAATTATTCACAACGATAATAAATATAGTATGTGAAGCATTCGAAACTCATTGTTTGACTAAATTACTGAAAAGAAAAAACCAATTCTGAAAATAAATTAAAATCATTAAGAAAACACAACCACATAACTAACTACTGGAACAGTTACACAGTAACAAGAAGTGTTACAGTAATATCAACTAAAGTTGTTTTGGGGCAGAGTTTTGGAGGTTTTCAAATGTGTAAAAACACAAACACCTCTAAAACTCTGCCCCAAAATATCGTAACAGTGCTCATTAGTGACTAGCTTCGTGAGGAAATTATCGGAGTTCTAGTTGAGAAGATGTGATCAATGGAGTCCAACCCTGTCGGGTGTAGGTAGTAACTACCAAAGACAACTGGGTGAGGTCGCGCAAAATCCCTAGATCAATCAGAGTTACACATTAACACCCGTTGGATGCCGGCCCACTGATCCGATGGTTAGGCGTTCGCGCACAATACCGAATTCTGCAAGGAGCAGGATTCGTGGATGCGCACTGCTGATGAGTCCCATACCAGGACGAAACGGCCGTCCAGTGCTTCCAGGTTTCCAATGGTGGTTTAACAATGATTGATTGATTTCAAATGTGTAAAAACTAAAGTTGTATTCAAAACAATTAGACCCTTTTATAAATTTTGATAAAACAGTGAGAGGACGTAACCGGTCTGAAAAATGTGATGTATTTGCGCTATACATACATATTTCGAACAATCTGGTTACACACATACTTGTCAAGGGATTTTATATGAAGAGCAATAAAAGGTCGATTAAATAAAAGTTCAAATACACATAAAGTGATAATTAAGAATAAGAAAGGATAGGAAAATTATCACATCAAAAGTTGTATTATCTAGAGGATAATTTCATTTCAGATACCAAGTTATTCAATATTTAGTTGTTACTATTCAAAAATATTGGATACTGGGAGTAGTATGCCTTTAGATATTCAATAGTAACATGTGTATAAAATTATCCTTTTATAGTCACTGAAAAATCATTATCACTTATCACAATAGTCAGATACATATTAAATAAACTCTGAAGAATGTAGCTGCCTAGTAGTAAGATTGGAATAACTAAACGAAATAAGTTACTGTGAAAACGTGGTGAAGAAACTTCAGGAAGCGATAAAAGTAACGTTTCTTTCGGAAAAAAGTGTTCACTTAAAATGGATAGTTGAGTCAACGAGACGAAATGACAACACACACACAAAGTAGTCAAGTGTACATTATTTTATTTGACAATGAGGGACAGTCATCCACCACAGGTAATCAAACATGACTATCAATATCGTGAATCGATTGAAATTAGACAGTAACACTGTTGAATGCTTGTTCAGTAGTCTAGAGGTTAAGCGTTGACAAGCCAAGGCTGGAGGTCTTGTGTTCGACTAGTGAAAGCGAGGTTTCAAGGATGAACTACCGAAGAGTCCTGTACCAGGACGCAACGACCATTCAGTTTCCCAGGTTTTCAACGGTGGTTTAACTAAAGTTAGTATGTAATTTATAGTCTATGAAAGTTCTTACACAGTTGACACTTGAAAATAATTAGAAATGATGAATTCACACGTAATATCTACACTACAACTACTTTCTTGTCAGTACCAAATCAAAATTTCAAAGTTCATAGTGCAACAGTCATCGAAAACAATAGCAATAACACAGTATTATTGTTTACTTAACATAAATCGAAGTACTGACCCATTCATAAGTAATACGTGTATACATTTTCATAAGGACAAAGGAGTATATACTATCAATAGAAATTTATAGTATGATGATCAAGGTCACAAGAATCAAGTTAAAAATAACAACAAAATTCTGTTCGTTTATAACCTTGAAAAATATGAAATTTGTAGTTAACTATTTATCATTTTAGTAAATACACGTACTGGTAATTGATTAATATGATGAAAATGAAACAACATGAAAATAATTTGCCAGTGAAACTGAAAGCTTTAATTGTGAACTTTTATGATTTGTACAAAAAAGGGTAGTATCGATAGTTAGTATGCTAATAGTGTGTGTGTGGCTTAAACAAGAGTACATGAAGTCGCGTGTTGTTAATGAGTCAGTTTTTTTCTAAATTTTCATTGATTTATTGAATTATTCCTTATTCTCTTATATGGAGGTTAAAGAGCTGTAAATTATAAGATAATACATAATACATTCACAACTATAGAGTATAGATGTTATCATTCTCTATTATTATTACAACCCAGCTATTCTTAATGCTTAGTATTCTCGGACACTACTTCACTTGAGACGTTCTCCTAAATCAAAACACGGTTGAACAGGAAATAGATTATATTCCAATAACAAGGTCAGATAGAAGACAGACGTTCCAAAGGAAAAAAGACATTAGCATATTTATAGTTTTCTTACATGAGAAGATTCTAGAATGTTCCCTCAGTATCGACTGGCGCTGATTGGATACGAAAGAGCCAATCAGTGTGCAGTAACGCAATCATGCTTTAATCCAATCTATGTCTCATTAACAATAGATAACATCATGAACATAATCAACAATTAAACAAGTCACTTTATGTAGTTCCTATATCAATTTTATTTCAAATAGACTTTAAATTTATTCAATCAACAACATGAAGTCCGAAAAGCGGAATGTAAAGTTTCTGAGTTTGATCTACGGTGCAATTATATGTGGTTTTTCCTATTGTATAATGTAAAATTAATATGAAACAGAATAATTGAATAGAAGTAGACATACAATCGAAATAGCTTGTCTAATTATATAACTGCTTTTAGAGAATAACCAACTGTTTCAAGTTACATTATTAAAATAATATTAAAAGGATAATAGAGCTAAACTTGGAAGTGATATATACAGTAATGAGTTTATTGATTATTCACCTACACAAAAACAATTGAAGTTTTATTCAACTGTAATCCACCATCTATCAAGGTTGAACACTTGATCTAAGGTCATGAAACTATAATATGTTAACGAGTCCATAGGATAGAGTGAATTAAGTGATGATCACACTTAAGATATACAATAATACCTAATATGATATTTAGGCGAAAGCAACGGAAATGTTAACTTGAAAAACTGAAAGTTGATGCGTCTGTCGGTTACTACAAATACTTCACAAAACCCTAAGCTTTCCGCATAAATTGCCTTTTTCGGAGATTTTTTTTACAAAGAATATGTAAGGGAATCAACTCCACATCCTCAACAATTACATATATCAAGAAAGCACAAGTAGTGACTCAACGAAGAAAACATAAGAATTAGGTATGTAAAAGGACTGAATCATCACAAAGGTTAATAGGGCATAATTACACATTCCTTTTCAATTTTTCCACTTAAATAGGAGGAGAAAATGAACACATTATAATGTTGAGTCAATAATAATAATAATCTTTAAAAGAACATTTAGAAAGCTGAAACATAATGGTTTAAACTCTCAAATACTAGGTCATGTGTTCCAATAGTGGTAGAAGTCTATGACGAAAAGAGGTGTAAAAAGAAAACACAAGTGTCATCTGTTTGATTATATCTTATACAAACTTGATAACTGAGAATAATTTCAGTTTCACCATAGAGTAAGGAAAAGTGTAGTCTTATCTAGTGAATGGATAAACATATGATTTACAGAGGTACAATTCAAGTATTGCGACTTCATGGAGCAAACAGATTGATTTATAGGACCTTTTTATTCGGATCCACTGTTAGACAAGTATCATATCAATCATAAGCAATGTAAAACTAGACACCAATGTCTATTGATCTAAGCAACCTCAACACACACGGAGATGGAGAGATATGACTAACAAGATGAATTTAGAAGTGATAATATATGTATATATGAAGTAAAGACTTAGTGGTAAAAGCAGCTTTCAGTCAGTAGATTGTAGGTTCAGACTTCCGCTTCACTTTAATTTTCTTTAAACATATTAACATTGGTACAAAACAGACACCCATATGTTTATGCGCCATATAAATTATTGAATTTATGAGTGAACTGTGATACCGTCCGGATGCCCAAACAGAAGCAGGTAGTTTTCTTAGAGGGCGATTCACTGAACTCAATCTACAAGCAGTGGAGCAACGTAAGGAGATGCAGTTCTATGGTAGCGGGTGACCAACAACAGGTTAATAAGCCATTTTTTCCCTCAGGATCCTGAATTTTACATGCAATATTGGTTTGGAATCAGGGTTTTTCAATTAACTTAGGTGGATCTTCCGTACCACCAAACCCGGTTAAGGTGCCGAACCTGTGCATTTTGTTCTCTCAATTTAGTCAACAGCACTTCCGCCACGAGAAGGAAGAGTAGGACTTCCCTGGCAGTGGCCATGCGCGCGTAGTCACGTTAGAACCTTACGAGAGGGAAAGCGGACTCTCTCCACTCTTGGTCGTACCACGGCACTTGCATTTAGCAAATGAGTTACATTAGATTATTTACATAACTTTGGTGATGTCACATATTAAATGACACAACACTAAACATCACGAGAAAGTGGATCCAACCTTGTGCTTACTATCCAAATAACCAAAATATAGATAGTGTTTTGATAACCAGTCTCACAAAATCTGAATAAGCTAAATCACCAAAAGAAACACTTCATGAAATAAAAATAACTTAGGACTCACCACTTTCGATAGAGGTGTGCGGAGATGGAGTAAACGGGCATAAATCTGAAGATTGTTGTTTGTCACAATGATTACGTTGCTGCTCGTTCAAATGCAATTGATGACTGTCAAACTGATGAGGGTTGATAGTATTCATATGTGTAACTGATGAATTATCAGTGTTAGGGTTTAAATGACCAAATGCAGAGGCTCGTTTATCACGTGCACGTTGATTTTGAAACCACACTTGAACAACTCGCATAGGTACACCTAACTCAGAGGCTAAGGCCTCACGTATCTAATATGAACATAATTAAACGCTTCATATTAACTGCTCAACAATTCATTGAGTAATGAATGAAATCATTCAAAGAAGAGACATTTCACTGCTTAATAACACTAATCAAAAGCTTTTGGTAACTAAGTGGTTATTTAAAAACAAGATTTTGTTAATATAACAGTTATGTGGTGAGAAAACCACTCAGATATGAAAATGTTTAGGAGTGTATGCACATGAATGTTAATAACCGGGTATTAATCAAAGAAAACTGACCGTCTTTCCAAATTCTAAACTCCGCTTTACAATTGGCGTTTAAATTAATGACAGAGAGTGATGTGGTTGGTTATATCAGGAAAGCTTCACCAGCACGCAAATAAATATATCTATTTAACTTCGCGCCCATTGTTACAAGAGAAATAAAATTAGATGCCTTACAAGCAGATGATGCTATTAACATACAAATAGAGTGTATACATAGTATGTAATGTACAAGTCATGCTAACTAGACAAGTAGAACCTAAGATAAGTTACCTAATTCTGCTACATCCAGTCGTGTGAAAACTATATCAGGCTTAAGACTAGACAACATAGCTGACAAGTTAACGTCAAACCCCCCTTTGCGGTCCGTAAAAGGGTTTGGTCTGACAAAGTCAATAAGTAGTGACACTAAGTCAATAGTGGTCACGTAATATAGACTGAATGATTATATTCAAAATGGTTTATAGCATAACTTCAGCTTGAATCATCAATAGGGTTCGATCTCATCTCTTACATACACCAGAAACTAAACACAGATTCAAGCTAATAACCTGAATCTCTATATTTGAAAGAAATTTATTATACCCTTATCTATGCCTTGGCTACATAAGGACTTCACAAACCATTCTATCAATTTTTCACACCCTTTGATTGTCAGATTTTCTTTAACGTTTATTTCACTACTTACACATGTTTAATCTGATTATTCACACACATTGCTTATGTGATTTTTAATGATTTATTTTTTAAAGCTTTTAACCTACTTGCTGTGTCAATATATATTTTGTTTATAATATATATCATACCATCTATTATTCTTAATATTTACTACTATAATCTATCACCACCTTACTTACTATCAACTCGTACTTCTACTTACTAATTATAATCAATTATGCAATCTTTTTCCATTGTTTTGACTGACTCATAAGTTACCTTGATTAGTTTAATATCTTTCACACATATATATATATATATATATATATATATATATATATGACGAAGATTTAATTGAAGACAATATTGTTCATTTATATGCTCTCTGTTATATGCTGTATGATGAATCATAAAACGCATGCACCTAAACTAGATTACATAATATCAACGAACTGAGTCATATGTCAAGTGATTTCTTTTTGACACTGATAACTATTAAAAGGTCTCAGTAATCGATTTAATGAAACATTATCAGTTGACGGCTACTTCTGATTATTTGTTTAGTCATATACAATATCCTTGGTGGGTAGAAGAATATGAGTTTGACAACTATCACATAAACCATTAGTATTCTATACAATAAAACAGTAGGAGCATATTAAAATATTATCATTTACTGTTTAATATTACTACACAATCAACAACTATCAATGATAATAATAAGCTAAACTTACACTTTTTGATGGACGAATATTTAATTCATATGCCTCTTGTAATCGATAACGTTGTTCATCAGTTAATGAAGTTCGTATACGTCTGCTTAAACTAAATCCTCCACTACTAAATGATTGATAACTTTGATCTAAATCTTGATTAACTGTTGTTGGCCAATCATTTTTATGACTTGTTAATTCCATATCATCATAATCGTTCTGTTGGTTAGTTAAACAATAATTTGATGAAGATTGATGAATATGTTCTGTGTTTTCATTAAATTGTCGCCAATTTCTAGGAGATGATGACGATGATGTACATGACTTCGGGTCGGACGATTGACGATTATTTGTTCTGACAGGATATAAAGTTGTGGAACTTTGATGATGATTAGGCTGTTGTAGTAGAAGTGGAGATGATTGTTGTCGTTGTTGTTTAGTTAAAAAATCCGAATGACATATTGGTCGACGACTAACAGGATCAATAATGTAAGCTTCACCAGCTGCTATTGGTTGCTGACAAATGCAACATGTAAAACAGGAGACGTGAAATATTAATTCTTGATTTAAAGATGATAATTTGGAATCAAGTGAATTTTTAACGGATGTAGGGTGTTTTGCGCGCATAAATAACTCATGACTTCGCATTGGTTGTCGACAGTTAGCACATTTAGTTGCATAAAGCCTGAACAAAACAGTGAAATACAATTTTGATGATATAAAAACTAAATAAACACTAACTAGGTAGGTATGTAATGTATAAAAAAAGATAACTGCATTTTAGATTATAAAATTCAGTTTATTCAAAAACATGTGAACCACACATTCATTAATGAGACAAAAGGTAGAAATACTATTAAGAGGGCGACTAGATTTGAAAACGTAACCTAATAACAAATGAGTATTTGCACAGCTTTATAAAATCCAATAAAATTTATCTTATAAAAACGTACAAATAAAATTGATAGATAGTCAAGTGCACTAACTAACTTCGACTAGACAACTAATTAGAACATTAAATGTTTATATATGAGCCTGACCATCGATCCTATGGAGTTTCGCCATCACTTTATTGAGAGATATAGAGAAGCACAAACATTTGTGAAACAGGATTAATTAGAAAGAACTCATCATTTCGACAGTCAGAAAACATAACATCTAGAGAAAAATCGTCAAGAAGTTCAGGCTGTCACATAATAGATAAGGAAATAAATAAGATGCAAATTAAAAGTGCATTAATAATGATGTCAAATTACAACGGCAAATTGACCATAAGTAATACGATTAGAGAAGAATGAATAGAATTCACAGGTAGAAGACAAAATCACAGTAGGTTAGAAATTTAAAGGAGGAACAAAATCACTAATAATTCCTAACCGTAGATAACGATTATTGTGAAAGTACTAAACGGGAAATCTATCTGCTGACATACATTTGACTGGTTGTACAATGTAGAAACTAAGATTAATGCAACAGTTACCATTTCTTGAGACAGAATAGGACAATGAAACTGGGATTATTTTCACAAAAATAAAGAACTAGGAAATAAAGAAAAAAAAAGATGAGATATGAGAAAAAATAATATCTCATATTAAAAGTATACGAACTGTTTTGCTAGTTCCGTGATCGTATTACCTGTCAATATCTAAACCTGATCAAGAGAATTCAATCAGTATTAAGAGCTAGACAAATATGACACTGATCACTAATCCGTGGTTAATTAATGTAAATATTTATTTCTTACTGGAGTTCAGTCGCAATCCGAATAGTCCGGTTATAATCTCTTAAAATGCGAGACTGTGTGACTCCACTAGGGAGCACCACCTTGCTAATCGAGTGCCGACTGACACGAAACCTAAGTCTGGGATTTTCAGACAATTACTGCCAACCAAATAAGTGATCAGAGCTGTGGGCTAGACACGTCAATGCTCAGTGATAAATAGCTGTAAATAGTTATACAACATTCATAAAAACACACTTCTCAATCATCGATTACAGGTTTGCTACTCATGCTATGTATAAAACGATTTTGAAAATTATAAAAGTTTTCCAACCTTAGAAATAAAATTATTCAGTATGATTATGAAGCTATACATAACTAACTACATTACAATGTAACACAACTGATGTTTTAAGAGTACTCTCTCAGAGCCTAGAAATAAAAAAAACGAAACCTTGAACCTATAGCCATTGAGTGCTGATAATAATCTTTAAATTTGGAAGCAATTGAAATCGAAAGTTCTCAAAATCTACACATCATTAACGATTTTCTTGAGAATTTCAGATTTTCTGTTAACTTGGATTATAAAAGTGTGAAATATGGTCTAATATACACTAGGTACATTAAATACACATCGATATGGTGCCAATTTCGGACTAACAACTATGAAATTAAGCTTCTCAGTATATGTAACCAGTAAATTGAAAGTGTTACATTTTTACAAATGAACTAGTTTGTTATTTAAGAATAAATATAAGTAGGTCAATAATGAAAAAGTATACTATCTATTTAGACACGTTAGACACATATGCGTAAGGAAGAGAAATTTCAATTCATAAAATAATAAAAGTATGAAATGGTATGATTTATCATGTGTTATTTTGATGTTAAGCATCACAAATGATTTTATCGAAAGATGTTTGCAGTTCAGTTCACATAATTCACAGAAACTTCCTAATACCTTGACTACCTCTTCTTACTATTGGATTTAAATTGACAATTACATTTCTGTGCTGATGTGGTATGGCGACATGAACTGATGTACTTATGTACGAAGTTCTACGTTGCATCTGACTGACTGATTCACAGAAACTTAAAATAGTCATGGTTTAACTTTAAGTATTAAGAAAGTTCGATAAATACGTTGCTATTTGAAGAGTATTTCCCTGATTCAATTGACATGTCACAAAAGAAACCAATAGTGTCACTGAATGGATAAAAGTAATTCAGCTAAAAAAAGTAATCTGACGATAATTTTGACCAATAAATTATCTTCACTTTCCTATCTTTCTGTAACCTCTAGGTCGTTACGTAACTTTCGTTTGGTACTTGAAACCTCTTCCCATTCTTCTGTGACTCAAATATTTATTAAATCAAAATAATTACAATTTCACCGTGAAGAAAACTCAATTTGTTGCATTCCCTCTATTTTTTATTCTGTTTAGGGGTGATTTCGTGGTTAATGCGACTGATTTTCGGTCATTAAGTGCAAGATTGGAATCTCGTTACACCTAGTTCAGTTTGAGTAACCGACTAGTTTCACTAGCCTTCACACTTAGAGTGTGGCTTACACCCAAGTACATGGCATTTGTTTTTAACATGTTAAAAAACTAAATGGGGAAGTTACAAGATGTTAGACAGAACATTTGAAATCGTTAATGGATCAACTTACCGGTCATAATCTCGGTGACACAACAGTTCATTTTTGTTAACGATAAAACATACTTCTACCAGTTCAGCTGAACATACTGAACAAATAGCACATGATTCGTGCCAAGCTAAACCTTGAATACGATATAGGTATTGATCTGTAATGGTCCGTCTGCATCCAGCACAGGTAGGAAGAGAATCTTTAGAAGATGAATGTGAAATCAATGGACTATGTGACACATTATGAGTGGGAGAAACATTTACTGAGTTGTAAGAAGTCTCCCGATAACCAACTCTTTCTGTAACACAATCAGAACCGTGGTGTCTCAAGAGACCAGAAAAGTAAGGATTCGTATCTGTTAATAAAAGAAAAAAAATGCATAATTAATTATTTGACTGCTATGTGACGGAAGTTAATAAATATCAACTGTACTCAAGGAAGAAACAACTTGTAAGGAATAATAAAAACTGTTCGAAGTGAAGTTGGACGCTCCAGTAGTCACTTTTCACGACCAACCTAAATAAAAACTCAGACGAGCGTTGAGACGAATTTTCACTTTAGAGATGGAAAATGTATACAAAAATACAACACGGTTTGCAATCTCACTGACAAGATCACAACATCAGAATCTCATAACAGGAATAAATCGTCGCAGCAACACAACATCAAATTTTTCAGCAAGGTATGAATCTTTTGGGATCGAAAACCAAGAATTACTAACGAAAAGATATTTGTAGTAAAACTGGATGAGTCCTACCGTAAGCTTGAAACAAGAATATATTTTTTGGTAAATTCAGGCAAAATCAAGTGAAAATTAATGTGTCACTAGGTTAGTTTTGTAAACAATTTTACGGCTAACTGCTGAATAAACAGGAACAAGAACCGGTGAAATAAACAATGAGCCATGAAAACAATGAAGATTAGGGTAGAAAATTAATACTATGAAATATTACATTTTGATATTTCTCACTGTGAGTATAAGCTAAGAAGTGTTTATTACTTACACTTGCACCAACAACAGTTCCTTCTTTATCACTGTAAATCACAAGAGTAATCGTTAGTTATAATTGTAACACTTCTAATGCCTAGAACAACTAGGTTGTAATGAAACAATTTATGTGTGATTCATATATGCGATTATCAGCAACTTGATCACATTCAAAGTTCAGAACTTAAAGCGAGGTACGCACATCTAACTGATATTATAACCTCTGATAATCGATCAAATCAGTCTCACTCATTCGTCAGTCATAGGTTCGTGTAATCCGGTTTCAAATAACTTTGCAAGCTAGTGGTACTACACTGTAGTTCAAACTAAGGTAGGTGAAATAAATTTAAAAAGGGAAAAAAGGAAATGTCATGAGAAGTTTAGAAAACAAGGATTTACGAGAGAACAAAGAATAGATGTGACTGAGGCATCACGAGCGCTTCTAAGCCATGTCATTTAAAGTTTCTGACCACCGGTTAAAATTGTCGCGCGGACCCCAATCAGGTAGTCTACACCTACTAACATGGCTCAGTCACGTTGTCAATCACTTCCTAGACTGATTCCTGATACTAGTAACCTACGGATATCATCCAATCCTACTGCCCATGTTTCAAACCCATAGAACAGGAGGGAGCGAACTGATGTGCAGGAGACTCGTCTTTTGGTTAGCAAACAGATATCGCCTACACCATAAATGACGCAAATTAGGAAACGCCAGCCGAGGCTTCTGTATCCGTGCCTAGGTTTTGTCACCAACAGGCCATCAGTACTGACTAGACTACTAAAATAAGTGGAGCGGTCAACATGCTCAACTACTTCACTCCCTATTACTAGTTCAGGTGCCGACACAAGCCAATCTCAATGCAACAATTCGCATTTCGAGAGGGAGAATAACATTAAACGTGCTTGCATTGTTGCGTAAGGTAGCTAGAAGACAACTTTTTTAGCGTCTTCACCAAATAGAACTGTCATCAGCATACTATAAGTCAACAAGCGAACCTCCAGGCAGGTGTATCCCTTAAAAGTCAGACGCCGAAAGTGTTAACCCTAAAAGCAAGTCTATGAAAAAGCTAGTTAAAGAAGAAGAAAACGGGTAACCATGAAAAACATCAAACACACTAAGTACGTTTACTATTGTACATGCGACTAGTAAAAGAGGGGCTTTTCAGTGTAGAGACGTTCATTTTCGCCAGCTCTGTAAGCGAATACGATAAAACTAATCGACACGTAAATATATTAGCACTACGAGCGAGAAAGTGGTTACATATAAAGTGTACTGATTGGTAGTTTGAGACGAATCTTAGTGGGTAGTGTAATACAAACTAATTATGGCGACTAATCACACGATTACACAATAATTTGAATGCCTATAACCACGAAAAACCAGTTGGGTCCTTCTCACTGAATCACATATTGGAACTCTCTGTGAGATGATGTTGGGACGGCACACTGTCGATATGGTGGAATCGGGATGAGGTTTTTATAGTACTCTGGAGCATATGTACCAAAATGTCACTTATCTTAGCGTTATCCTTAAAAATTGGATAGTAAGAACGTGATTTATATGTATTACATGGACTAGGGAGTTGGTAAGGTTCGCAAAAAAACATGTACAAAGTGTACAGTCAGTGTTAATACTGAAGAAACAAACATAACAGTGTTCTAGTTTTAAAATCTTGTACTAAGAACTAAGAAATAAACAGAGAACGAGCACTTGTGAACGCAGGAACTATACCAAATATTATATAATGAATGTCGAAAATAAAATTTTAAACATACTTGAAGCGAGAAAAAAGTATGAGAACGACAAAAGATATGATAGAGGCATTTAATACGGGACAACAATAAATGTAAATCACTAAAATCATTTTTACGTACGAGGAATATTTAAAAAAAAAAATTAGATCGCATAGTTCAAATACCTAAAATCTCATGGATAATAACCCTAGCAAAAATCATAGAAACCAAGCTAGTTTAAACGCATGTCTAAGGACGCACCATTACTAACAAGGGCTGAAACGCCCATAGTTGACGACATTCTCCAAGATTAAACTGCCCCCGTCACCTCGATGCATTAAAACGCAGTCTTGTCAGACCAATTAGGTCAGATCACTGCGACCAATCGTGACTTTTCTATCATTCAAAAAGTATGTTTCATCTCGCAGCTGTAGTCACAATGAAGTTTAATTTCCGCTGTGGACATCCTCCGGACAGATACATCTACCTTGTCAAGGTCATCCGTATGTATGCTATTATTGTTAATATGTTTCAGATCTTATAAGTTTCACAACCACGAAATCATAGCCAAATGGCTGAATGAGTTTAAGTGTGGCTAGAAAAGGGTCATTCTTTAGTAAGGCACCTCCCTTGACACTCCAATTCCAAAGGACCTACGACGACCCTACGGTCAGATTGTCGACAAACATGATTCGCTCCAAGTAGTAACATTATTTCTTTATAGCTATCTGCAATTATGGACTAGTTAACAGTATGACAGAATGACAGTAGTTATCAGGTCACCTCATCGCGATTATTGTTTCACGTATTCAGTGACTTACAGTGGTAAGATCTCTTCTTGAGAAACCGGGAATAGAGGGTTGTAATTCTTGGTGCGTCATAAATTGCCAGGAACAACCTGCATAGCTACATCTGGTGCTGCAAAAGCCCCGCTAGACCAGAAATATAAGTTCAAGAAATGAAGTTAATCATCATCAGAATCACGAAACGTAAGGCATTCGGATCGATACTATATCGGCTGTACTAGTCAGTCAGGAAAAAGACCCATCTGGACTAGTTTCCACGTAAATAGATAGTAGCTTGCCCAAGTTTCGTCCTACTTACAACCATTCGCGCAAGCCTTGACATGAAGAAGCATCACTTGGAGGGATAAACGTCCGACCATCATATCGGTAACATAAGTGGATTGGAGAAAAATCAAAAGCATATGCATGAAGTTTGAAATGAAAACCGCAGTTCCAGCTGAAACCTGGCAACCTCTTGGTGTTTTAGACAATGAGGTGGATGAAATGGTGAGACAATGTGAACATACCAGGAGTCACAGAGAACAATGCATGGTGAAAGTATATATCTACTGTAGTTTCGGGGCTATAAATCCGACTCGCTTAGATATTGCTGCATAGTACTTGAAAAGGGACTATTATAAGCATCTGATACCAACGATATATCTACAACAATTATTCTTTCGAAAATATGTAGTCTTATTTATCAGTTTCCTATCTTTTCCAAATAAATAAACAAACTGCAATCCATTGCTTTGAACGTGGTATCATTTGTAATTATTTGATCTTACCGGTAAACTGACATTCTTCCAGTAACACACCGCTGACTTAGAATAAACATTTTTATTATTCAATGTTTTAGCCCTCAACCTTTCCACACTGCCTCCTTGTTAGAGTTATATATTTCGCTCATGGAGTTGCGGCTTACGGTTTGAACTTAAAGTCGTTGAAAATATCGGATGAAACTGTGGATCAGATTTATTTTTGTTATTGCTATGTGAACTATTGTCACTGATATCGTGCCAAAGCACACCGCAAATATCTAAGTCTTAGATCAGAGCGCTTAACCTAAACAGACGCTCCAGTTTCCAAAATAATGAAAAATATGTAGGACTCTCAGGTATCACAACAACCTAGATTAATTCGTTTATCGTTCCTGATATTTATAAATCCTTAACAAAAGCCTAATTTAAGTAGTTACGAGCTAGCCGAATACATCAGGTGCGATTAAAAATTTATATCTAAAATGGGTTTTAGCTTACCTACCTGATATAGGCGTTTTGGTTTACGTTATCACATTTTTAGTGTTGACATTTCTGATTGTTCTAATGACAACCTCTCATCTTAACTGCGCTGCTCAACAAGACATAAAGAAAAACACACACTAACCACGTTATTGGCTTTAGATATATATATTGGGGTGGAATAAAAAACTCAGTATTGGTTAGCTCTCGTTTCTACCCGCATTGTTATTGATTTTTACCATAAAACTAAACATTCCTTAACAAATATTTTCTTTACTGGACATTTATAGTGTTAGAATTATTGTCCCCTATTTATAACTCATTGGTTATCTTATTATATGCCTCAAAATGTCGGACTGAAAGTTAGTGTAATTTGCCACTAGTAGAAACAGACACTGTCATTACTACAAAATACCGAAGTTGTGGTTTGCCGAACTAAAGAATCATTTTACGAAGCTGAATATTATATGTGAAGGAGTTAGATACGGAAACTTATGCTCTTTGACCCCTCCCTCATTTAATAAGGAAGAACTAAGAATGAAAGTAATAGCCATGGCTAACAAACAAGTGCTACACCATAATATCCTGGCCACTTACTGTTTGGAAACAAGGAATTTTCAATAACCGTCCTATTATTTTCATTACTTCGGATGGAAGCAATAGCTTTGCTCCTAAGCTCAACGCCCTTCTGCTATTAAGAGTCTGTGATGGCTTGGGAATAGAATGTGCCATGAGGATACATATATTGTTAGGCTAATACATTCTGATGGAATTCACCTTGTTACTTCAAGTGCGACTGAAATTGTTTCATAATAATCTAAACTTAGGGAAGTTAGATGTGGTGCTATTGGCTAACTACGTTACCACTTGAGGCTAGTGATCAGTGGAATTGGTTGGCAAGTTGCAGACGGATGATGATTGACTGAAAGGAACTATGATGATAAACATGAAATAAGCGGTGACTTATGGACTTATGCAAACTTTGACTTCTGGTAAGAACCAAATGTCGACAGTATGTAGGTTAGCCTCATTGATGTACAAGCGTACTGTTGAATTCTTGGTACTTCTACTAGAAGAAGTAAGTTAGTTAAGAGATATTTGACTGGATGTTTTCATGGGTCGCTCTGCGTATCTGCATGGATTTTCGAGGTCGCAGCATGGGAAAGAATGCCACAAAAATCCCACCACAATGTTCTGTTGGACGGTGTTGTGATTTCTATGCATTTTGACCTTATGTTATGTTGAACTTTTTCTAAGGACTCCAGTTAGTATATATAATGTTTCTCAAACATTCATATCCAAATTTCACTGATTTCTGCTGTCTTGAATTTTTTCATTGCATGTTTCCGGCCCACCATAAATTAGGCTGCGTTTGACTAAGCTTGAAGTTACTATATTGTCCTTTGGGTGATTGTCATTCTTTGATTGATCTTTTCTAAATTAGAACCGTTCAGATCAAACACAGAACTTTTTTTGAGATAACATAATGCCAGTCATTCGAAAAGGCTTCGTACTCTTTGCAGAAAAGTGTGGTTTGGAGTAAAAATCTTTGATTCGTTAGCTGTACGTTCAAACCAAATGTGGTTAAGACGATGCTTGTTAGCTTATTCGCCCGGTGCTGTTTATGGATTACACATTCCTCCTGATGACTTTGAAATTCCAGCGGTTGTCAGCTCGAGCTAGGCCGCAGAGCGTGGTTTAGCTGTCCTGTTACTGTATCATTGGCCTACGCCCCTTTCATCAGTATGAATTCGCATCTTAATTAGTGCAAGTAAAGCAGTAGTAAAAAGATTTCTGAAATTATGGATCCTGTAAAAATGGAACTATTGTTGTATTAGCAGTTTTAACTTATTCATCTATTACCAGATACAAAAATCACGTCTACCTCCCAACCCAACACATCGACTGCTGCACTGTCAGTTAAATATCACTGTTAATAGTATTACCGAATTTCACTACTATCCTTGTTTCAATGTTATTTTTGATAGGTAATTTTGGCGCTAATAGTATCTGTTCTTCTTCTTCTTTCGGTAGGGTTTCAGGTGTTTGGTTGTGCTGAAATCCGATTGTGCCACAGAATAGAGAAGATAGCTCATTTTTGAATACCATACAATTATAAGCTGATGGTTTAGGGTTAACTCCTCATTATTCGTCGCAGGTTATCGCTATTTAAAGCTGGTTTTGAATGATGATGCCGATATCCTTACACGTGTTAGCAACGTCAGCCCTGAATATTTCGGCTGAAGACCAATTCAGAAACCTTATCTTCACTTAATAATAATAATAATAATAATTTATTCTCAAATAACAAACATGTTACATGTTACTATCAAAAATCTCGTAAAGTAAATGAAAAAAGGACTCAGCTATCGTATATTGAGTCTAACAAACAAGCAACTTTGAAAACCTGAACCTGTTACCACTAGCTCAGCCTAACCCATCTCAGTACAGTGAACGAAGAGAAACCTCGCATCTCTACGCTGACACTGCGTGCAAGGCATTTCGTAAGAGCCTGACCATTCAAGCTACATCGCTGAAGAAAGTGCAATTCCACTGACCACAACAATTGAGTTTATAAACGGTGGAAGTTAGGGCAACTATCACAGCAAACGATGAGCTTTAGGCGACCGGCATCCCAATTCAGTGAGCCAACAAGAATCTTGTCAGGGCCAACAGCAGGTATGAGAAAATTCATCAATCGTAATATTAATGAGCAGTCATTACGATTGCAAACAGACACTTATTCTAATATCATCATTGCCCCTGGGATGTTTTGAACCCTCAATTAAGTCAGCAACAAAGAAAGCTTGAACAGTATTCGCCAGTTATTGTTAATCTAAATCTATTATTGACGCACTGTGATCAATATATGCATACAATCTTAATGGTTGATGCAAAATCTATTTTGAAGGTTTTGTTTTTGGAAAATCCCTCCATGTATATATATTTGTGTTATGATATGACTGACTCTTTCTGTTGACATTTCGGTACTCTATTTGATTCCATTTTGAGATTTTATCACTGTATATTGTTATTAATTCTATATCTTGTACTTATATTGAAGTTTTTATGTTTCCTTCTGAACTGTACATATGTTGTTTAAATTTGATATTTAATATGGCTACAGCCATTTTTGTATTTGATACTCTAGCAGAAACGGACTGGAAGCACTTATTCTTCCAGCAACGGAACCTATTGTAGTAACTGGCGAGTTGGAGCGAACTGCGAGAGTAAAAATCCGTTATAGTGGATGCCACAGCCACAATCCTAAAAGCTATTAGGCCCTCATCCTGATCAATTAATGTTAACGAAAAGAAGTACAAAGAGATAACAAAGGAGTTACCACTCATTTTTCGGGTTCGCCGTTTCTACTACTTTTAAAATAGCTGGGGATTTTTGATATTAACAGAACATAAGCCTCAAAGTTTGTCATCCAACCTCTTTCACAAACACATCTTCAACAATGCACTCTGATTATATTGTTATATTACTTCGACACTCGATTCCGTCGTACTCAACATTTTGGTCAGGCAGATGTCTTGTCACTGTTAATAAAGGAACATCAGAAATTATATCAGGTAACGAACCCACTATTAAGAAAGTGATGGACTGAATGCAGCGTTACTGGAAACAACGTTATTGTCGTCGAGATTCACTGTGCAATGTTGAAAAATGACTGACGTTTGAAGAAAGATAGAGTGATTGTGTTGAAAACCCTACAGCAGAAGGTGTTGAAGAAGTTTAGTGTTGTTCATCCTGAGATAAAACAAATAAAGTTCATCGATAAGGGTCCAGCATTTTGGCCACTGACAGACCAGCAAATCATAGAACTGGTGGTCGAATAAACGTAGAGCTAGCAGATAGCGATTGTTTAACAACCACCTAAGTGCCCCTGACCTATGATACATACCAGCTTTGCCGGCCTAATCAACGGAACTAACTACATAGTCGTAGTTAGTGCACTTTCGAAATGGCCGAAAATCCTCCCCAGTATGTTTTCGACGATAACTAAAACGCTACATCTCTTAGAAGAGATCTCTCATGGTGGATTGCTTCATGTGATTGTGTTTGAGATTAGTTATTAGTTCGCTTTAGCCAGGTTCCTAATTTCTACCAACGATTGAGTGTCACGCGCCAACCCTCTGCCCCTAAAATGTTCAAATAAATGGACAGGCAGAAAGGCTGCAATTACATTTAGGCTGGTTCTGCTCAGATGGACAAGGGAGCAGAACTGGCCTAGACGCTACATAACTTATGGTTGTTTTTCGACCGATAACATAATCAGAGCAATCCGAACAGAGTAACTGGTCATTTACAGTCCTAAACATGGATGTAGTGATTCAAACAATCAGTACAAACGGATATTATTTAGATTAAACAAAGTAGAGCGAAGGCTACTAATCCCACTTCAGGCTTCTCTTTGGAATTTCGACAGAGTAATGTGCAGTGCCTCCACATATAATCGAGTTCGCTTACATTTAATTTGGTTAAGCCCTTTCGATTAATTTGTTTAACCAAGCCATTTGTTTTGCAACAGTTTATATGTACCATTAGTTATTATTATTGTCTGGTTTGTATGAGCTCACATGACATGTCCCACTTGTCATTTGACCATGTCAACTATTCGTCGCTTTTATTCATGTGTGCATGCCTATCTCGTCGATCGCATGTCTGTCTTATATTTGTCTGACCATATATTCCTAGTCATGCTCTACCTCTAGGAGTTGGCTCATTAGCCTTCTCCAACGCGCTTCGCCTGTTCATTCGCTTCCTTCACCCATTCGTTCGCATTGTAATCCTAGGAGTTGGCTCAACAGTCTTCTCCGATTCACGTCGCTCATTCGTTTTGTTCTCTGCTTCTCCACATCGCTTCACATGATTCGCTTCAGTCACTCATTCGCTCCACAGTGTACACTACAAATGAATAATTCGATTTTTGAAGAAAAGGTTGGACACCAAGAACAACTATCAGGGAGATTCACCCAAAGCCTTCGAAGCTTTCCACTACATTTGAAGGAAATTAATTACGGATGCATGATGGAAAGCGTTCAACCGGAGTGTGTCCGTTAAAATTACTATGGTCATCAACAAGAAAAAGTTTAAACTTCACCTTATCGAACAACTAACGGTTACACAGCTAACTTGCTGGAAGATCGCCACACAAAAAACTCTTACTTCCTCTTTGTGTGACTCGCTAGTAATGCTGACGTGAAATATTTCCTACTGGGCAGCTACTTGCTGAAGATTGAAGCGTGTGAGCGGATAGTGGCTGATATACCACACTCAGAGCACAGTCTCATCCCTGACATCCGAAAAAAAGTTGAAAGAATCTTTCGCAGAAAAAATGTAATTTTTCAGGGTATTCCAGAATATATGAGCTCCAACAATGCAATCAATCATATTCATGATTGGAAGTCCGTGAAATTGACCTTGAAAGTGGAGAAAATGTAGATCCAACAAGTTGTGCAGTTAGCCAAGAAGGAAGTGGATTTCAGACGCCGGCTAGTGAGGATAACTTTCCCATTTTCCCAAATAGTGGCTGCCATTATCGAGTCATTTCGTGCCAATCGATACCGGATCCCAACTAGAATGCACATGTGTACGGACAGGCCATATGATGTAACGGTTTAGAATGAAAACAAATAGGGGCGAACCATTTTCACTTTCGCATTGTCAGGCGGAAGAAGATAACGAGGAAAGGATTGCGACCACACACCTGTAAGCCCTATGTAACTAGGTTAACCGCCCTTCTTCACGAAGCGAATTCAGACAACCGTGATGATGACTGTAATACACTTCCAAACAGAAGTATTAACTAATTATGTACGAATGCCGCAAGCTTACCGAAGGAAACAAACGAGTTGCGTTAAATGAGCAAGACGTGATTTAGTTGGTTTTGACAGTAAAGCTGTATTGGGAAGAGGCAGAAGCGAATTAATAGGAATCCTTCAAGAAGAAGCGACATATTCTTAAGGACTCGAGACTGTGATTCATTATTACTTATCTTTTGTTAGTTGACTATACCTGGGTTCTTACTTGAAGGCATAATTGATCCATTGCTATTAGGTAAGCAACCTTTTAAGCGAAAACTTCTTTTATTCCCTCTACAATATTCTGAATAATGTTGAAGACTTACTATACAACATATTCTGATGATTGATTCAAAGAGCCAGCCTTGTTTTGTATTTGAATTTTATCTGTTTCAATTCTGAAGTATTCAGCATAATAACTGACCACCTGACCGATCTGTTACGCGATAGCTGCTGGTTCTAAATAGTATCAACCACCAAATAACGATCGGATCCACAAGGACAAGTTTGGTCGAGTGGCTGGACCATCAGCATTGGACACTTACAAAAACAGAGATGCTTCACTATTACAAAGTGACTACGAAAATATGTGCTAAAATTACCCTGCCTACAGATAATGGGTATTAGTTAACTGAAGTGCTAGGTTGTTTTACTAGACAAATTAGTAGTAACCAATTCGTTGCACAGCATTAAAATGATTGATGAAAAGCTGTCTGACCAATTTGTATTTCCTAATGGAGACTATTACGAAGGTCAGTATATTTTTAAAGGTTCGGAAATAGTACGCCATGGAAAGGGCCTATTCATCGGCAATTTTAGAAAACGGATGTTAGATGTACCAATCCCAAATTCACTTGACCAGTCATACAAAAGTTTATCGGAAACCTTTTCTGAATATAAATACAGTGAAGATTTCGACGTATCAACACTATGTGATCTATTTTTAGAGTCTGGACCAAATCAAGGATGCTACATAGGAGAATGGGTAAATGACAAAATTGAGGGAAATGGTAAAGTGCATTTTCCGTCTGGATCGTATTACGAAGGCAATTTCAAGGACAACAAGTTAGTTGAATTTTCACATTTTAGGCCTGATTTTACGAATATTTTTACAAGTAAAGATTAACTGCATGTTATGTACAAAATAACTATAAAGCACATTCTCGTTATCCAATTTTTAAGGATAACGCTAAGATGATTAGTGGCATGCTGGTACATATGTCCTAAAGTATTATAAGAATCACCCCAATTAGACAGTATTGACAGATATTTTCGACCCAGCATCATCTTACACAGAATTCCAATATTATATGATTCAGTGAGAAGGACCCAACAGGATGTAGACGTTTTGATCTTGACTTTAAAGCTTCATGATAATGTCCTCTCGTGTGAATGCTTCCAGACGAAATGTGAATAGGGTATACTGATTCCACGACCGTCGTTTAGTGTGTAGCAAGCCGATGACTTAAAATGCACGATAACGGAAGCATGTCGAGGTGTTTCAGACTATATTTACATTATAAAGCAGAAAGACCTTACAGTTACCCGTGTCTTTAAGATCACTACTCATTGCGACTTGTGAATTTTATAATTAGAGATAGTATTTACAATAAATGGTGAATGGATGTCATTGAAATAACCGAACTTACTCAATTTGAGGCAATACATCCGTCAAAGGACGGTTTTTCACCAAAAGTGAGTTTTGTAAATAGTAGATCTTCAAAACTACGGCCTGGTGCTTTACCGTCATCATCTAGAAACATTACATAAAAACTTTGATGAGGCTTCGATTTCTTCAGTGTTTCTACCTGAAACTACCAGTGAATCTTCCTAAAATGGAAATGGTGAGAAACAATCATCTCTCTACGCTCATCCATTGATGTAACGTTTTGGGATTTCTTGAAAATCCTGAACAAGCTGATGGTCATTGGATTATCAACCTCTAATTCTCATAGGATTATATGCGTTTTTGGCACTACAGTGAACAGATATTAGCTATTCAGAACTTGTAGACGTTAACGAGTTTGTGAAGTTTGGCTGAAGCGCAAATGAACTGTTCCTATCTCTTTAATCTCCTGAATCGGGAACGAATAATAAGCCTTTCCAGCTCTGAGATAGTCTCGTTAATGGCTGAATTCCTAGTCCCATTTCCCTGATAAGTTGGAGAAGTTGTCTACTGTTACCTATCATCGCAGCCTTTTCCACAGCTCTTGCTTTTGCTACCCACCACTGTTCATGGTCATTGAGTAAACGTTTGGGCAGCCTTCACTTAAACTTACTTCGCTTATCGTCATGTTCAGAGCCAGACGGGACGAGTTTTACGAACATCTGCCAGTTCGTCAGATGCTATTGAGATCCACCGCTTCTTCCTGATCTTATGATTTACCTTACTAGCAGATACTACCTCTGTTTCAACAGCTTTTTGGATATCATTCCAAGCTGTCACAGGGTGGGCATCACTTATATGACCGCTTGACTGTTTTTCTAGTTGTTCCTGAAATATATTCTTAGCTAAACTATGATTAAATAGAACCCTCAGAGGTTTCTTCGCGATATTTTTCCTGCGTCCAGTAAGACGCGAACAAATGCGCGCTCGCACCGGAGCATGATCTGAATATAAACATGTGCCCCAGTACGAGCGACAGTCCTCTCTCGAATGCCCCCATTTCAGGAGGAACTAGAAAAACAGTTAGGCGGCCATGCAAGTGATTCCCATCCTGAAGCAGGTTGGAATCATATCAAGAAGGCTGTGGAAACAGCAATGGTATCTGCTAGCAAGGTAAACCACAATGCTAGGCTGAAGCAGTGGATTTCAGTCGCATCCACCGAACTGATGGATGCTCGAAAACGCATCCCACCTGACTCTGAACATGATGAAGAGCGTAGTCAGCTTAGGTGCAGACTTATAAAAAGCCTACGTAACGACCGTGAACAGTGGTGGGTGGCGAAAGCAAAAGCGATGGAAAAGGCAGCGGCGATAGGCAACACTAGACAACTTTTCCGCCTTATCAAAGAAACCGGTATTAGGAACCCGAATGTGAGTGAGACTATCTCGGAAAAGGATGGTCTTATTATCCATTCTCAATCTAGGAGGCTGGACCGATGGGCAGAACACTTTAGGGATCAGTTCAACTGGCCTTCAGCCACACTTCGGTTGCCCACGATCTCCAGTCATCCTGAATGGCAAATCGATTTAAGTCCTCCCAGTTTACATGAAGTTGAGAAAGCTATAGGAAATCTAAGGGGAGGTAGAGCGGCAGGTCCCGACAGGCTTACCCCTGAGATGTTTAAGTATGGTGGTCCAATTTTAACGGTTAGACTGACCGAGATCCTAGGTAGAATCTGGGAAATGGACGTAATCCCATCTGACTGGTCTCAGTCGCTAATTGTCCCAATCTACAAGAAAGGACAGAAGTCCTCTTGTGACAATCACAGGGGAATAAGTTTAACTAATATAGTTTCTAAATTGTTAGCCTCGATTATACTTAGACGTCTAACTAGAGCTCGCGAAGAGCAGACTCGAGAAAACCAGGCTGGTTTTCGACCTGGACGTGGTTGTATAGACCACATCTTCACACTTCGACAGGTCCTGGAACACAGACACACATTTAGACGTCCGACGTTAGTCGTGTTCCTGGACCTTAAGGCGGCATTCGACTCAGTGGATCGTGAGGTTCTGTGGCAGTGTCTGTCATTGAAAGGTGTACCAAAGAAGTACATTAACCTTATACAAGCTCTCTACTCGAACACCACTGGTCGGGTGAGAGCATATGGCGAACTATCATCTGAATTCTCTACATCAAGTGGTGTCCGTCAGGGCTGTCCACTCTCTCCATTCTTGTTTAACTTTGTCGTAGACATCCTCTTAGAGTTAACATTAAGCTCGTCAGATTTTTCAGGGGTTGACCTACCAGGAAAGTCGCTTACTGATCTAGAATATGCCGATGACATAGTTCTATTCGGTGAAGACACTGACAAAATGCAGAGTCTTCTGACTACCATAAGCAACAATGCGAGCATGTTCGGGATGCGGTTTTCCCCCTCGAAATGCAAAATGTTGCTTCAAGACTGGGTTGCATTGGCACCTGAACTAGTGATATGGAGTGAAGTAGTCGAGCGTGTTGATCACTTCACTTATCTGGGGAGTCTCATCAGTGCTGACGGTCTGGTGACTGACGAAATCTCAGCTCGGATACAGAAAGCTCGATCGGCTTTTGCCAACCTGCGTCACTTATGGTGTAGGCGTGATATCCGTTCGCTAACCAAAGGGCGGGTGTACTGCGCAGCAGTTCGTTCCGTTCTCTTATATGGCTGTGAAACATGGCCGTTAAGAGTAGAAGATGTTCGTAGGTTACTAGTATTCGATCATAGATGTTTAAGAAGCATTGCTCGTATATCGTGGGACAACCGAGTAAGCAATGCTGTCGTTAGGAAACGAGTACTAGGTAAGGATGGCAGATCAATTGATGAAGTGGTGAAACTTCATCAGTTGAGGTGGTTGGGACATGTGTTACGTATGGCTAACCACCGACTGCCCCGACGAGCTATGTTTTGTGTTGTAGGAGTAGGTTGGAAGAAATCTAGGGGCGGCCAGACCAAAACATGGCAGAAATCCATGAAGTCACTGACAAGTGGACTGAGTCATGTTGGTAGATGTAGACTACCTGGTTGGGGTCCGCGAGACGAAAGTCATCAATGGTTAGAGACCTTGAACGACATGGCTCAAAATCGTTTGCAATGGCGCAGGTGCATCCACTCTTTGAGCTCTCTCAAATCCTAATCTTCTGGATTAGCCAGCACCTTTACCTTGGTCTTTCTAACCTTATCTCACTGAATTATAGTTTTTTGAATAATATCTTAAACCCTAGTCTTCTTTATTATAACATTAATACCTCTACTATCTTTATCATTATGGGATTTGATTTGACATTTGCGTCTCTGTGCTAATAATGTGGTATGGCAACATGAACTTATGTACATACGTACGAAGTTCTACGTTGCAACTGACTGACTGACTGCCCCCATCAGTATTTCATACCGATGTGACCTAGTTTGGTCCAGCATTGCGACGATTTGGAGGGTTGCCAGGATAGGAGATGTTTTTCCTTGTGCTTAATGTTACCGTTCGCTGGGAACAGGCGCTTTTCTGAGCGTAGCTGCAGCTGACGGTCGCCATTGTCCGTTCTTTTAGGCGTGACACAATAAGATCCACCCGGGTGTCTTTCCTTTTCGCTTAGTTTACCTGCTTGAGCGTTGAAGTCACTCGCTACTGTCACTACATCAAAACGTCTAACTTTTTGAGGAGGTTGGTAAATTTTTCTGTACTTTTACCTCATCTTGGCTGAGAGCGTAGATAGAGACAATGAAGAGGTAACGGCGTGTCATTATCTTTCCCAGCCCTTACTATCCTGTTAAGTCGGGCAGCAAACTAGCAACTGTCTACTGGGATCCAGTCTAGGAGAGCTGTTTCTTTCCTAGGACTTAATACTATACTAACACCACCAGAAGCAGCGGCAATGCTTTCAGAGTAAATCAAATTAGTGATTTTACTAGGATCATGTATGCGCGTTTCCACATACACTAACGGCACGAGATTCTATAGTCCTATCTAATGACACCTGTTGTTATATTTGACACATTGTCCGGACATTAAAAGATCCAACAGATATTTTAGAACTTGGTTTCAGGAGATCAGGAATAACATTTCGTGGGCTCAAATCATTTGTATCAGCAGCACCAGGTAGTAAAATAGATGGAAGGTTTGGTCATGGAGATATGAGGGTTCTCAATTGGTATAGGAGGATTTTATTGCGACAGACTCGACCTCATGTGCTTTTACGGGTATTACGGCGGATGTTACTTTCCGGCTACCCACACCGTGGAAGGGTGATTCTTGAGGAACCTTAAAAGGAAGATGGATTATTGTTGGTCTCAGAGAACTGGGAGCGTGACCACAAAGCCTAAGGGACAACTGCTTGACGCTCTTCGCGCATGACCTTTTTGTAGGGATTTTTTAAGGTTTTATCTCCGCTCTTAAAGTGGCCTGATCGCCGAAGATGGAAATACGTGGGGTAAGTTGAGGTGTGAAATTTTTGGGGTCAACCTTTTCTAACTCCAAAATCGCTGCAGATGCTGGTTATCCTAGGGAATCACCTTACTGCAGTTACACCTATCTACATCTACTGCATCTACACCTATCTACAGTCAGCAGTACGACTTCACCCTCAGACCTTGAGTGGTTGCTTTTAGTCTTACTGTTCTTCAATAGACCTACCTGGCACTGTAATACCTAAAGGAACATATGTTGTAACCAATATAGCTTGTTTAGGTCATGGCGATAGGCGAACCTGATCACCATGTCACCATGACAGCTCCGGTTAATGTTGAGTAGATTGGATTATGATAGATAACACCTAGTGTTAATACATTTATAAAAATAACTTCACACAGCAAGCCTTCAAGAGACTCAAGAGCGAATAGATTTCATGCTCTCTATCTTTAATATATACTAGCGATCCAACATGTTTGTGGCATACATTCCTACCACTCTTTTTAAGTGTGACCCAACGGTTCGGGAATAATTTTGAACTCATGCTGTAGTCAAGCCTCTCGCCTACGTATTCTAATCATCTGACAAAAGATCTTGATGAATTATCCTATTTTACGCTGCTAATAATTATTCAGACTTCGTCAAAATCATGGTTGCTTACAATAAGATTGAGATGAGTTTGACTATATCCTTTAAACTGAGTTGGTTTATAATCTTACTACTGGGCTTTGTATAAAGTTTCTTTAAAGCAGGAAAGAAACCTAACGGCATCTCTTCATCAACCAGGAGTAACAGTGTTTGCGGAAATTGTCTTTTGCTTTGTTTACTTTTGCGTCATGAATCTTTTAGATAGTGGTGTTTATATTCCAGTTTTTACGTTTAGACGATAAGACAGTACAAAGTATAACACATTCCAAAAAATACAATAACAGTTCATCCCAGATCATGGAATATATCACTCATAAGAAGTAGTAAACATCTTAGACAATATTAGGAGAAAAATGAAAATAAACACTTGTATGCAGTTGCAGCTTATGCATAATTTTATCACCCATAATCTTCAACCATCAATTTTCACAATTTCTATAATCCAGTACGACTAGTTTACAGTTTTCTATTATTTTAATGGTTGAGAATTATTTCAAAAGAAAAAAGAAAACCAGGTATATTTAATACACCTAGTGACTTTTATTTTTAAAGTCAAAAATGTTTGTGTATTGTAGTGTGTACTTTTATGACTAGCCCATAGAGCTCGTCTCTATCATTGGACAAATTACTTAATCCACTATCCATCCTCAAGTTATAATTCACTCGTCTTTTAACCTTGTCAGTCAGTCGCTCATATCTTTTTTGCTTTTATTCGTGTATGTGCACACCTTACTTCGCTTATTATATGCATGGCTTACGTTGTCTCATTATAAATGCTTAGTCATGATTCATTGAATGGAGTTGGCTCACTCAACTTCTCCGCTTTGCTTCGCTTGAGTTGAGTTCGCTCCGTTCTCCTATATGGCTGTGAAACATGGCCGTTAAGAGTAGAAGATGTTCGTAGGACACTAGTCTTCGATCACAGATGTTTAAGAAGCATTGCTCGTATATCGTGGGACGACTGAGTAAGCAATGCTGTCGTTAGGAAGCGGGTGCTAGGTAAGGATGGCGGATCAATTGATGAAGTGGTGAAACTTCATCAGTTGAGGTGGTTGGGACATGTGTCACGTATGCCTAACCACCGACTGCCTCAACGAACTTTGTTTTGTGGTGTAGGAGTAGGTTGGAAGAAAGCTAGGGGCGGCCAAACCAAAACATGGCAGAAATCCATGAAGTCACTGACTAGTGGACTGAGTCATGTTGGTAGATGTAGACTACCTGGTTGGGGTCCGCGAGATGATAATAATCGATGGTTAGAGACCTTGAACGACATGGCTCAAAATCGTTTGCAATGGCGCAGGTGCATCCATTCTTTGAGCTCTCTCAAATCCTAATCTTCTGGATTCGTCAGCACCTCTATCTTTGTCTTTCTAACCTTATCTGACTGAATTACACTTCTTGAATAATATCTTCAAACCATAGTCTTCTTCATTACCATTAATACCTCTACTATCTTTATCACTATGGGATTTGATTTGACATTTGCTTCTCTGTGCTAATGTGGTATGGCAACATGAACTTATGTACATACGTACGAAGTTCTACGTTGCAACTGACTGACTGACTGCTTCGCTTGTTTGCTTTACATTATCATTTCTGAAATAAACTCATCCAACCGAATCCATACATGGCTTCTTATCACTGCAGTTGCAGAAACGGGTTCACCAAAGTATGATATGAAGAAAATGCAGGGGAGATTTATTTCATAGCATATTGAATTGCTGATAAATATTAGAGCCAGATCGCGAGCCATCAGCAGACAAAAACTTTCAAAGTAGTTAAGATATACTTTTTCTGATAGACAACTCTTTAAATTAAGAGATTCTAGCCGATTTTAGTCATTTAGTTTCAAATTATTCAATCCTTTTTGTTACTTTTAATTTTCTCATAGAATGGATGGCATAGGTACATACTACTGGCCTAGTGGACATATTCTAAAAGCAGAATTTGAACAAAATAATATTCGAGAAGATTCCTTGATTGAATTAATTGATCCAGATGGAAAACAATGGACTGGACGATTCAAACGACATCAGCATCAACAACAACAACAACAGCAACAAGTAACAGCAAATACAAAAGATAAAGTTTCCAATGAAACTCAAATGTTTTTCAATTTAAATGAATATTAGACGAAAATCATAATAAAGCTAATTGAAACCAGCAAATCTTCAATTTTGTTGTAAAAAATGAAAATGATTATTGTTTTGAACATGTTTTTCTATTGTTCAAACTTTTGTAGGATGAATTAAATGAAGATTTGAAAGTAAAGAGTGATAGTTCGACTGATTTATTATTTTCTGAATTTTCATTCACTGGTTAGTTTTTTTTTACCCAACAAAATTTTTGACAATATGATTATCTGTACGTTGAGTTATAATATTAAGTAGCGTTGAGGAAATGTTAAGAAGCCTGAAAGCACTGGACAGCGGTTTCGTCCTGGTATAGGACTCATCAGCAGCGCGCATCCACGACTCCTACACTTCACAGGATTGGCGATTTCAAATGTGCAACAAACGCTAATCTCCATAACTCTAATTGAAAAATTGTAAAATGTGTTCACTAGTGGCTAGCTTTGTGAGGAAATTCTCGGAGTTCTAGTGAGAAGACGTGGCCAGTGGAGTTCAACTCTGTCGCATGTAGGCAGAGCAATGGGTGGGGTTGCGCAAAATCTGTAGATTGATCAGAATTAGACATTATCACCGTAGGATGCCGGCCCAGTGGTCCAGAGGTTAGGCGGTCGCGCGCATGTCCGAAGGTCCTGGGTTCGAAACCTCCGACGTGCAGGAGTTGTGGATGTGCAGGGCTGATGAGTCCCACAGCAGGACTAAACGACCGTCCAGTGCTTCCAGGTTTCTAATGGTGTAATATCCGATGAATGATAAGTGAATGTCTAAACACTGGCTGAA